TATAGTTATAGAAAAAGTGATATCGATTTAGATGAAAATTGATCAAACGAACCAAAGTAGAAAGACGCGAAGCGAGCGTCATTTCAAGATTACCCTTCAAGCCAAGCAGAGCTGGCACTAATATGAATGTTTCCGGTACCTCAAAAAATGTCTTCCACAAACTGAACATATAAAAAATGAATATTCTAGTTCCGGTCGAACCTTAAGTAAGTGCACAAGCAGAACATAATGAGACAGAACTCTTAAAGAAAGTCATCAATCTGCTCATTGCCAATCCGAAATTTCGCATATACTTGAAGAATTTTACTTAAAGATAGTCGCATATATTCAAAAATTGTTACTTAAAAATATCGTTCACACTAACAATACTGCGATCTTCCATGATATAACAAAACTGTATCGAAATATCACAAAATCAACCTGAACGAAGAGTTGCCAATGTTGAACGGCATCAAGAACAAGGCCAGCTAACACCATCCCAAATCCAGCGACCAAGAAAGGAAATAAAACCTTAAAAAGGTTCAGAGTTAACACTCAAAAGGAATGAATCATACGCCTGAAAACAGTCAATTCGATTGATTTTCACGGAACGAATTAAAACAACGACCATTAAAATAAAAAGCCGAATTGGTTCCGAGCAGATTCGTCAAAAGAAATTCAATTGGTTTTTTTTAGACAACATGATTATTCAATACGCATATTTCTTAGAAAATACTTCACCAAAAGCGCAACGAAAAAAATCCACAATCAGAGCGGATGGTGTCAATGAAATTTCAGAATACATTAGAAGCAATGCTTAACCTCGAAAAACAGAACATAAGACGATTCAGTCGCCGCAGTATAATCGTTGTCACTAGTTGCATTAACCACGCCGTCTCTATTCTGATCATTAGTTTTCTGTGATTTTCTGAATTTAATCCTGACAAATTTTAATGAATCGTTTTTGCATTCATATATCTCAGGATTTGATAAACAAGAGTTATTTATCAAATCCTGAGATATGTAAATATAAACGCTGGATTAATGAAACGCTTTTAAAAACTAGATGCAGTATTTCGGATTACGAATATGCAACATCTATATAAAGAAAGTAGTGATGTTTAGGCTGATAATTAGGGCTGACAAAAATAAAACTTCGAAAAAATTATAATACTGATACAAAATCATTACACTTATTATATTGATACAAAATTTCAACTAAATACCATTATAAAATAATTAAAAAAGATTAAACTTCGATAAACTAACCCTTGCTTGAGTATCACTTGTTCTGTTTGATCCGCATTACTCTTTAAATACAAAATATGACCCATCTGTGAAAGTGCATCAATTGAGCTGGCCACGATCTCCTCGGTCGTTTTCTCACTGAATTCACCATCACTTTCGACAGAAGCAGCATCATTTGTACACTCTTCACGTAATTTATTATGCATCGATTCTTGCTGCATCATCTGCAATTACTTATGTCCATCGAAATGCTACATTTAAACAACATCTCCTGCATAAAATCAAAAATAAACATTGATCATGAAGTAATTTTCAGTTTTGCACGTTCATCTCACCCATAATTCAGTTATTTACTATAGCAGATGTTTTTCCAAAACGTTATACTATTGTCAAGCAGACTAATGCATAGTGATAGTCCATTCAGACAAAGATTAAACAACTTAGACTGGCCTTTAGGCGCAAGCACAAGTGGTAACTCAAGCTTGGGCTGAGGCTTAGGTTGTGGCTTAGGCTTAGATTATGATTTGGTCTAAAATTTAGATTGTGGCTTAGACTCGGCGTCGTTTTTTTGTTATTCTCTCTGTGACAACAGTGCTGCTAGTGTTTTCTTCGCTGATTGTTATCGTTTTGCCGTCTTTGAAAAAGTGGTATACAGCTCCGAAAGACCTCCAAAAAGCAGTGCCGTAGACTCTGAGAAATTTGCGAAAATCAACTCGACTGTACGTCCAGTTTTCTGTGAGTTTTATTCGCTCACAGATATGGGATTGATTCTCCCGCACATTCAACTTGAAGTTCGGCATTTCAACTTGAAGCTCGACATTTCAGCGACGTACTTACTTGAACTGTAGCACAAGTACCTGAATTTTCAAATGTGTGCACTTATGTGTAGCTGAGATGCCCTTAGCTCACTGTCACATGTCTATGGTACCGCAGTACAACGACCTGTTGGAAACACGACACACTTACACTCAAAAGTTTAGATAATATGAACAAATTGCACAATTATTGATTAAGGAATTAAGGAATCGTTGAAGAAGCGAATTTTGAAATATGGAGAAGAATGTGCAATAGCCGGGTGACGCCATCGACATGCATCAAGAATGGTCGGTCCGGACTAAGACTTGCCAGGTTCGATACTTCTTCGACGTACTTACTTGAACTCCTACTTCATGTCAGTAATTTTTGGCGCAGCCCAGCAAGTCTTGGCTCGACCCGGCAAATATTGATCTCTCCCAGCGATTCCTGACGCAGTCTGGCAACTGTTGGCCAGGTTCGGCAAGCCTTCGACTAGCCCTTCTCAGTGGCTTAAACCAACTAATTCTATACTCCCAACATTGAGAACCATTGAAGTAGTCCGACGGCGACATCTGGTCTCCATATTTCTGATTGAGACACGCCAAAGGCTTCATTAAAAAGTAGGTGTCGAGTGCTACGGACCCTGAGAAATTTGCGAAAATCAACTCGTATGTCTGGTTTGATTCGCTCACATACATGGGATTGATTCACCCGCACATTCCGCTTGAAGTTCTATAACTATCACAATACTGTTCGTCACATCATAATTAAAACAGATGATACAAACGAGCAATGCCATTCTAAACGCTGAATTAGCCTTTTTGCCACCGATTAATCATGCAGTCCTCTGCATCACAGACTACTTGAGAGAGAATGTAAGAGACATGTGCGGATACGATAGAATGGAGGTTAGTTGTTCGATGAACGGTTTCAGCCTTTAAAAGTGTAACTGAATGAGACGAACGCAAATATTTGGTAGAGCATCGAGATCTCTGTCAGAGACAATGCACAGTTTATCATGGTTTGAAAAATCCCTGGATTTGATAAGACAAGTGATTTTTTATGAATTTGAAATATGCCTATCTTGAATCTCGCATTAATCATTCCCAACTCATTCATTCGCTGTTTTGCAGTCATATTTGTTGTTCACCACCCATGTGGTAATAGAAAGATAATTCATTTTATATCACCGTCTCTCTCGGCTTGTTTTTCACGAAAATTTCGTACTGACACTGTTGCTTGGTCGTTCATTATCAACGTTGCTTTGTCCTCGAAGTCCGTCAATCCCGCTTTCATTTACTTTCGATAGCGAACTTCGTTTCTTAGAAACAATGATGAATTTAAAAGATCTCACTTGATATAAGAAACATCTCATAATTGATCAACATGGTAAAATGACTAATGAGATTTCGAGTAGTGAAACCATTTTCGTAATAGAATATACAAATAACTCAATTATGTGCTGGAAAATCAAAACAATTATTTAAAGATTGTTTAATAATTCAAAAATTGATTAAAAGTTGTTTTAGTGTTTTTTTATATACAAATTTTATCTGATCACGAAAAAGTTATTTGATCGCAAATTTTATCTGTGTATGAACTGTACCTGTACTGTATTGTTGGTGTTTTGTTTTGTTAAGTGATTTGTTGAATAAACTGTTTTCTGATTAATTATGAACGCACTGGTTCAAAATGCGTTGAGCATATCATATTTGTATATTTCACAAGTTGCTAAATGCCCGTATTTAATTCCGATCTCGGGATTGAGAAAATGGTCGGGATTTTGCAAACTCTAGTCAACACTGCATCCAACATGTAGCGGTTACTAGTGCGTTCTCTTAAATCTACCAACCAAACAGTTCTCGCTGCACAAAATCTGTGGTCTGCACAAGCTCCAAATCGCACCAGCTAGGTAGATACCACATGGAAATATGTCAGCTTGGCCAAAATCTGAGTTGACAAATGCCTATTGCAGCACTTATTGGCTATGGAGGCATATAACCTCTTTATGAGCTTGGCCGAAGCGATATGTCTCTCATTATCGATCGTAATTGCATACTTGGTTGGCAGGCTGTTCAAAAATCACTGATGCACAAACACTGTGCCGAATGCGTGACAAATGAGGATATGGTAACTGGCAAACACTCGTAAACTGTGCTCTTTTGGATGCATTTAAAGACTCACATACAATCTGCTGCTTTATCGAACTGTTAACACATAAAATTTTGGCAGTTTCTAATAAACATTCCAACTCTTCATAAAATTTATACCATGCTTTTCGTCATGACTTGTTCCATGTGACCGTAGTCTGCTGTGATCTGCGCATTACCGGCTTTGTTCCATGACATTACTTATTATAAGTTCGGTGGTATAACTTCAAAAACCAGTTTGTCATGACTTACAAACTGGAAGTGGTTTCTGGAAGACATCTTAATTCTTCACAAAAAATATTCTTCGCTTCTGATCAAAACTATTTCCAGTATACGGTTAGCTTAAATTGTGATGATTTGCCACAATGCTATGTTTATGGCGCTTTTGGCTATGCATCTACTTTTTCCTTAGATGATCAGCCCTGCTGCGATTGACTATTCAACTGGTCACCGACTGCGTGCGACAGACGTGAAGCCAAGCATATAGAGAGATTGGTCGATCCGTTAACATTGCCGAACGTATCACATTTTTGAGGCATTAAAGCTAAAGTTAATGAGAAGAGCATGCGTGTTTCATTTGAAATTTTCAGTTTTCAAGTTATGGATAACTTTCCTAACGATGAGAAGTCACGCCACCGCAATAAGTAATATCATAGAACTAAGCAAGTCATGCGCTACCAGAGCAGGTTACGGTAGAGTTGAACCAGTATTGACGAAAGCCAGAATGCAGACCTCATAAACGATTGAAATATCTATCAGGATCCGTTTCAGTTCACAAATTATAAGCAAACTTTTCCAAGGGGGTTTCGACATTAATGGACATTAATGGATTATGAGGAACTTTAAGGGATTTCGACACACCACGACATTAATGAATTTCGCAGAATTAGGTGACGAGAGCTTACTAAAATCACAATGGCATGTTATTCCTGCGAACATTTCTTGCTGTGCTCTAACTAAGTAACACATTCAACTGCGAATGTGAACAAAATGCCGTTTTGATTTTACCAACCTAAAATAAAAAATTACTCAAATTGCAAAATTACTGAAATGTGCTTGTAAGTCAGTTTCAAATGTTTATTCGAGATGTACAAAATAAATGAGAATTTTACCTAGAGTAATAGGCACGTAATGCACAGTCGTGATTAGGGTTTGCACGGGATCCTGGGATTTCAGTTCTGATCCCGATCCCGGGATTTAAGTTTTGAAAAATCCCGAGATTTCGGGATTTGATAAAACAGGTCAATTT